ATGATGAGAGAGTCATTGATTGTCTGCCTCCTGCCCCCCCCCCCCCCCACACACACACACACTGGGGATCAGGCCTGCAACCCGGGCATGTGCCCTGACCAGGAATTGAACCGCTGTCTTCTGGATCATAGGTCAATGCTCAACCGCTGAGCCATGCTGGCTGGGCCATATCCTCTTTTTTAATAAAAAATTTATGTTTAACATTATTTTATTTCATCAAGTCAAAGCCCCCATCAACTGCAAGAAACACTGAGAGATGTTCAAATCTTTATTTAAATGCTGGAAATGAATGTATCAAGCATACTACTTTTCAAATGGTTAAAATGAAATAACCATTTGTCTTAGAATCAAATATGATACTATTGCAAAAGTATTTAATAGTGCTCATTTTAAAAAACAACAGATGTGAGCAGAACAGTAAAATAAAAAGTAGAAGTCCTCTCGTGTTCCCCAGTCTCTGTTCTTTGTGGTAACTACTGTTAATTGATTCTCTTTTCTCCCTACATGAATTTATCATGCATAAGCCTGCGGCCTTTTCTATGTATGAACAGTTCATACTGCTCTGTTCTGTGACTTGCATTGGCTTATCAGTGTGTCTTGGAACCTTTTTTATGACAATGCATACATCTGCCTTATTAATTTTGATACCTTACAGATGCTTTTATTTAACTGGCCTCCTTTTGATGGAGATTGTATGTGGGTTTTGTGTATGTGTGTTTTAATATGTTTTTATTGATTTCAGAGAGAGGAAGGGAGAGGGAGAGATGGAAACATCCCATGAAAGAGAAACATTGATTGGCTGCCTCCTGCATGCCACCTACTGGGGATCGAGCCCCCAACCCCAGCATGTGCCCTCACCAGGAATCAAACTGGCTTCCTCCTGGTGCATGGGTCAATGCTCAACCAACTGAGTCATACCGGGTGATGAAGATTATGTTTTTTTAATTTTTCAGTAATTTAAGCATCCTTTTGATTGATTTAAAGAGAGAGAGAGAGAGAAGCATTAATTTGTTTCATTTTCTAGTTTAAAAAAATCTTTAATTTCTCCATAAAAAAATAGCAGTGGCTTTTTGTAGAATCTTCAAAATGATCCATTTATCTTGATCTACATGACAGAATACAGAAAGAGCTTTGAGGCTTGTGGGAAAAAGCAAGTTGCAGGACCATCTAGGATGGCCCAGTTTGTATATAAAGTACAGAGTATTTGTGATGCGTATGAGTATGTAAAGAAAATAGGCACATGCAGGGCACTTACTGTATGGGCCAACTGTATTGTAAGCACTTTATAGCATATAAGGGCAAACACGCTGAAAAATAGGATGCGGTAAGTGCTATTATCCGTATCCTCGTTTTACAGAGTTGGGAAGTGAGGCCCAAGGCCACACAGCGATGAAGTAATAGAGTGGGTGTTCAGATTCAGTCTCTCTGATCCGTGCTTTTCCCCACTGCCTCCATAGCATGTAAATGTGTGTTTGTGTATGTGTGTATATAAAAATGAATATGTTCTAACAGCCTGTAGGAGGGTCCACAAGGAGCAGAGTGTTACTTCTGGGGAGCGTAACAGTATAATATCGGCCTTTCCATCATTTTTTATGTGTATGCATACAGTGGAACCTTGGTTGTCAAACTTAATTCATTCCAGAAGTCTGTTTGAGAAGCAATTTGTTCAAAAACCAAATCATTTTCCCCCATAAGAAATAGTGTAAATTGAATTAATTCATTCCAGACCCCAAATGATTCCCTGGTTTAATCTTTCTTATGTACAGCACATGTCTAATGTACTGTTTAATCTATAAACAAACACTTATGTTCTTAAATTTATTAAACCACCCCTACTAGCCTTAAAGGAATCACTTTCAGCACTCGTTCCAGGAGTGTCTTTAAGGAGGTCTGCGTGTGGCATCTTCACTTTTTCACATATCACTGCCTCAGAAATGCTGTCACCTGCTAAATGCTTTTCCTTTATCCAAGGAACAGTTTTTCCATCTATTCAATTGCCTGTGATTTGTGATCACTTTCAAGCCCTTAGCAACATTAGCACTCTTGATGGCCTCTTTATGTTTTAAAATTGTGCTAACAGTCCATTTTGCCAGCAACAAAAGCAAAAAACAAAAAAGCCCCACAAAAGTATTCACAGTACAATTTCTTGAGATGTTAACAAGGAGGTTTATTGCTAAACTGACTGCATTCTCTCCTTTGTTTGTGGCCTAGAGATGCTTTTTGTCATGCTCATGTGTCAGCCTGAAAGGGTTGTCAGATTGAGAACTGAAGTTTTTGTTCCAAGTGCACAGCTTGGTTGTTGAGAACCGAATTGTTGGAGATGTTGAGGTTTGACTGTACATCTGTTATCAACACCAGTATCCCACTCTGTTCCATTTGGCATCTTTTTGCACTTGACTATATCCTGGAGATCCAGGCGTGCTGGAGCATAGATCAGCCTTCCTTTTTTCACAGCTGCCTAGTATTCTTTCCTCCATTCTGACGAACATCAGAGTGTTGACTCTAGGGTTCTTGAAGCAGGGCAGAACCACTCTTGAAGCTCTGTACCTCGCATATCTCCTTGGGCAGCCCTGCAGTGAGCCTGGGATTTTTCTGTGTGTCGCTTCTCCCCCCACCCCTTCAGTAGTTCAGCTTGCGCCAGCTCATTCAGGACAGTGATTCTTATCTGCCTGGGTCACTGCTGGCTCCCCAGCTCCTGGAACAGTGTAGGTACTGGGGTTACTTGTTGACTGAAGAAATGAACAGGTGGGCAAAGTGAGGAAGATTAAGAAGCCCCCCATCTGGCTTCCCCACAGAGGAGGAGAGTAACACTGGCTTCTGTCCATAGGTGTCGACCTGGGATGATCGCCGGGCAGAAGGCACGTTTCCTGGGAAGATCTGAACTGGCTGCACCCCACCTGTCCTCTGTCCTCCATCTTTCTCCCAGGGAGGTGAGGGGGGGTGACCTGAGTATATCCCACCCTAAGGTCCTGAATCATGGCTTAACTAATAATAAATACTTGTTGGAAAAGTGCAAGACTGTGTGTGAGTAAAAGAGCTGGATGATTGGGCAAGACGCTGGGTTGGAATAGTACCTGGACCAGCAAGAGGGCCTTCAGAGTTGAGTACTTTTTCTTTCTTTTTTTTTTTAATCCTCACCTGAGTGTATTTTCCATTGATTTCTAGAGAGAGTGGAAGGGAGGGAAGAGGAGGAAGAGAAAGAGAGAAAGAGAAACATTGACGTGAGAGAGACACATTGATTGGTTGTCTCCCACACTCGCTCCAACCACAGACGGGGAACCTGCAACCGATGTACGTGCCCTTGATCAGGAATCGAACCCATGACCCTTTGGTCTGCAGCCGACGCTCTGACCACTGAGCCAAATTGGCCAGGGCATGTTTTGTTTTGTTTTTAATTTTTATTTTATCAAAACTTGACCACCTCCTCTGCCAGACAATAGAGTGAGTGATTGTATGAAATAGCCTCAAGCCCCTGTATGTGCTAAAATTTATCTGTATGTTCCCTTAATTATCTGTATAATTTTTTAAAACTTTTCTTAGGTAATGGAACTAGTATAATAAAAACACATATGTACCTCACCTACCTTCAACAATTACCAACAAATGACCAGTTTCATCTTTAATTACTCGCCTCCTCCCTCTAGGTAATTTTAAAGTAAATCTTTGAGATCATAGTTTATCTAGAAATAAGTATACATATCTCTTAGAGATACATATTTTCTAAAGTAATCACACTTCTATTACACCTAAGGAATGAACAATACTTAATACCATCTGATAAGCAGTCTTCTGCACAATGTGTAAATTCTCTCTGTGCTCTGGGCCTCTTTCATGTTGCTTGTGGTGATGATTGGATGTCTTTTAATTAAGCTGAATTAAGAAATGTTCCTTTTCAATGCCCCCAAAAGAATTGCCGTACAAGACAGCCCAAAAGATCATCCACCAAACCTGTCAGCAGGGAACTCCTGAGAGTGTTAGCAGCTAGAGCACCGTGTTGAGGCCAAGTTGGTGTTCCTTCATGTGCAGAAAGATGATTCTTGTATTGAGGAAAATGGCCCTAGGGAGGGATCTCCAGCGGCTGCCTCTGAGGAGGAGGGGCTTTAAACAGGGCCCTCCTCTGTGCATAGGTTTGGAGAGGCTGTGAAGCTTATGTCTGCCTTGGAAAGAGCAAAGAACTTAAAAGGAACATGGTGAAAATTTCAAATGAAACACGACATGTAGTGAAAGGTCAGGATGTAGGACTTCCCTCACCCCAGTCACCTAATTCTCCCCAGAGGCTGCCGCCATTAGCAGTTTCCCATGTATTCTTCTAGAGGTAGCCCATACATCTAGAAGTGTTCATAAAGACATATGTTTTGTAGGTGTTGCTATTTATTAATTATTGTTGTTAACAAGGAACTTGTAGTCTACTAAGCATGCTGTAGAAGAGCAGCTTAGTTTAGGCCTGATCATATATACTTGGTGCTCAATAAATTTGAGAGAAAAAATAAAAAGATCTTTTGACTACTCCCGCACTAGTGCTTTCCTCTTTGCTTCACCACTGCACACCATGTCCTCCCCTCCCCAGATCTCTCTTTCTCCCTCCCTTTTTTCCTCTCCTCATCTCAATGTCCCACCCGTACCTGTGAATTTCAGGCCCTCCTTTGCTCAGCTGACCCAAAGGAGCACCTGAGATTCCAGCCTTTACATATTACCTTAGTGCCCAAACTTGAGTTTTCAGTGTTGCTAAGTCTGCATACCTCTGTGCTGCCACTGATGACATCTTTGCTCAAATGAATTTATTTGGAAAGGAAAATTTAACCTATGAAGTTTTGTTGTTGTTTTTTAATATGTCTTTGTTGATTTCCGAGAGAGGAAGGGAGAGAGACAGATAGAAACATCAATGATGAGAGAGTCATTGATCAACTGCCTCCTGCACGCCCCCTGCTGGGGATCAGGCCTGCAACCTGGGCATGTGCCCTGACTGGGAATCGAACCCTGATCTCCTGGATCCTAGGTCAATGCTCAACTGCTGAGCCACGCCCGCTGGGCATAACCTATGAAGTATTCTTGCAAAGAAAAGTGGATGAGCTAGAGCCACATATGTGATAAATAAACCTCAAAAGCATAATGTTGAAGAGAAAAAAGTCAATTGCATGAGGATATGTACAGATTATATGCATAAAGTTTACCAAAACATCTAAAACTATCCTATACATTGTTGATGAACATATGCATATATGTTAAAAACGAAAATGTGTATGGGAGTGAAAACTTTAAATGCTGACAAACATTTGAAAAGATGCTCGAAATCATCATTAATAAGTGAGAGTTGAAATAATGGCAGGTATCACTTTACACTGAATTACTCTGTCAAAAGCTAGAATGCTGGATAATGCCAAGTGTAGGTGATGATTGGAGGGTACAGGAGCCCCCATGAATTCTTGGTTGGAAGGTAGAAGGGGACAGCCATTGTGAAAAGCAGCCTGGTGCATGCATATCCATGACCCAGCAATTCTCCCTAAGAAAAAGATATACAGGTCTCTAAAGGGCCGTGCACAAGGTGCTCACTGCAGCATTATAGTGAGTGGGTGTGTGTGGGGGGGAGGTGGAAGGAGTCTGGGTGTCCTGATTGGGGAGGAGACAGTAAACTGTGGACTATTGCACACCGTCGGTGTCCTGAGCAGCCAAGAAGCCATGGGGTCAGTGTGCCCAGAGCAACATGGATAGATTTTGAAATCATAGTGCTGAGCAAGAAAAGTAAGAATAGCCCTGGCTGGTTTTGCTCAGTGGTTAGTGCATCGACCCATTTTTATGACCTGTGACATATTTATTCCCCGTTGATGACACCTTTTTGCCTTTACTAGATGTTTTATTTAACTTCTAACTACTAACACCAGCTATTTGAAAATAAAAACATTTCATATTATTAGCCTGGCCTTATTATTTGGCAAGTTATTTTAGCTAAAACTTATAAGATGTACTTCATGGGTCATGCACATTACTTAAATTTTCTCATTAGTCCTTAATATAAATGTGAATCAACAGAGAAAAACTATTTTAAATGTAAAGTGGATTGACTAAAAACCTAATTATTTATATTAATGGAAAACATCTCATGTGTTTTACTACCAAGCCAGTGTCTTGACAATAGAATTTTAAGTTCTATTTGTTAGCCCCATTGCACATACTCCCCGGAGCTGCAGCTCAGAGAAAGAACACAGTAGATGTCCTGGCCCTCTGGGTTGAGAAGTTCAGGACAAGGACTGGGGTTCCTCGAGCCGCCACTTTCGCCTGCAGAACCAGCCTCTTGACACTAGGGGACGCCATCGCAGAGAACGTGGGCCTCGCAGGAGCGCTGCTGGTGACGTGGCAGCTTGCACACCAGGACTGAAAGATGGCCTTGGAACGCATCCCTGCACTCAGTTCCCACTGTTGCCCAGCGAAGTGGTCTGTTGATTGATACCCATTCCGCAGATGGGCAAATGCACTGCCAAGTCGCGCAGCACAGAGGAAACGGCACTGGGATTTGAACCTAAGTCTCTGATTCTGCAGCCTGAAGATGTTTCCACAACGATGGCTCCATTCAGTGTGCCCCCTCCCTTTTTCTAGCACAATTCTCTTCCCCCTCCTTCTACACTCATCTCAAACTGCCCCCACACACCCATCTCCTGCCACGCTCTCCCTCAGCCCACAGCCCATAATCAGCCTCTGAGCCCACCTGTCCCCTCACCTCCTCCCCACCCCCCTGCCTTCGTCTAGCCCTATCCTCACCTGCCAGGGCCCCTCCCTGGGCCTCGCCCTGGGATCCTAGCCGTGGAGAGGTGGAGCCGCCAGCAGAAGAGGCAGTTCTGGGGTCAGGATTCACGATCAGGTCCGACTTGGATCTCTCTTCTGCTCCCAGGAAGGCCCATGTCTTAAGGAGGGGCATCAGGTGGTGCACTCACTCCCAACCCCACCCCTCTCCACCACCACGGAGCCTTCCCAGGGGCACATCACCCTGCCCAGGTGGCCACATACAACACAATCTGGAATGGCAGGTCTATAAATCACTTGGGGGTGAGGCACATAAAGCTGTTCTCTCATGCTGGTCTGCCTGCCTGACCTCTGTCCCTTTCTCCAGACACCCTCCTCCCCTCCTGGGAGACTGGCCTAAGGAGGGGCCTGGGCATATATAGGGAGCCACTGCGGGAGGGGCTGGCCAGAGAAGCTTAAGGCAGAGAAGGTGAGGAGGGAACTCTGGAGATCTGGATGGGCAGAGGAACTAGGGTGGTTTGAGGCTGAAGGAGGGCCAGCGCTGAGCCCTGGCTGGTGACTTCCCTGCCTGGGCCTCACTATCCTTTCTGTAAAATGGCCCACCAACTGGGGCTGTGGGAAGCTGGGCACACTCAGTACCTGCCAGGGCCCAGCAGAGAGCAAGGAGCAGCGCTGGCAGCTGGGGTGTGGAGTGGGGGCAGTGGGTCGAGCTGGGCCATCCCTCCCCTCCTGGCCTTTGCCTGGCCTCATCCCTGCCCATGTGTCCCAGGCACAACTATGGCTTCTGCAGCAGCAGAGGAGGAGAAGGGATCTCCGATTGTGGTGGGGCTGCTGGTCGTGGGCAACATCATTATTCTGGTGAGACATCCCCCAGTGCTGGGAGCCAAGTGGGCAGGTGGGGAGAAGGGGGCAGTCCTGAGCCTGGGGGTGGAGGCTGAGGGCCCAGGACTCCCCAGCAGGCCAGCGCCGCAGGCTCTCAGCAGCCTGGATTCCAACCTCAGCTCTGCCTCTCCCAACTGTGTGATCTTGAGCAAGTGATTTTAATTCTCTGCTCCTGTTTCCCCATCTATAGATTATGTCCTCATTGTGGGGATATTTGTGTAGCTCAATCCATGTATGACCCTCAGCTCAGAAAAAGTGAATAACAGATGCTAGCTACAACATTAACATGATTATGGACATAAAGTGCCTGCTTGGCACACAGGAGACCCATAATAATAAATAATAACAATGTATTTTCCTTAATATTCAATTCCCCCCCACCATTGTTTTTCAGAGAGAGTGGAAGGGAGAGAGAGAGAGAAAGAGAGAGAAACATCGATGTGAGAGAGACACATCGATTAGTTGCCTCCCGCACTTGCCTCAACCAGGCCTGGGGATCGAGCCTATAATCTAGGTACATGCCCTTGGCTGGAATTGAACCTAGGACTCTTCAGTCCGAGGGTCGATGCTCTAACCACTGAGCCAAACCAGCTAGGGCTTAATGTTTAGTTTTTCCAACATGCAACAAATGCAAGCAATAGGAGCATATGTAACTATTTTCTCTTCTTTCTTGCTCAAAACGTAGCCCATTCCATGTCTTTTGTCATGCCTCCGATTTTCTCCCGCTCACATAGCCTGCAGGCCACTCCACAGGAGTCCTCAAGAGAGCCTTCCTCCCCTTTTTCACAACCGCATAGCACTCCACTGTGTGGCATCCTGGTTCCTCTCCCCACAGTGCTCCAGGGGATCACCTGGCGGGTGTGTGATTTTTCTGACGGGCAGGGGTATGTGTAGGGTTGAGCTCTGCAAGTGGAATTGCTGAACCAAAGGGCTGATGTATTTGTAGTTCTGGTCATGGCCAGATTCCCCTCTGCAGGGAGTAACACTAGTAAGGGGGGACAGGTTGACCGAGCGTCTCCTATGTGCTCGGTCATTCGCTCTAGGCTTTGCATGTGGCATCTCCTTTTGCCCTTGAAGCAACTGGCAGTGGGGGAGTCCCGACTGCCCCCCGTTCTTCTTGGCCCCTGTCTAGCCTCATGCCTGCGCATGAAAGGTGATGTCCTTACTGAGCAGGCGGCGGAGCCTCCGAGTGCGGACGGAGCTTGCTCAGGAGGCCCCCAGCCGGGGCTGCTGTCCCTGCGCTGGTCTTTCTAATCGGCTGCTCTGTCTAGCTGTCAGGCCTGGCCCTGTTTGCCGAGACAGTATGGGTGACGGCTGACCAGTACCGCGTGTACCCGCTGATGGGCGTCTCAGGCAAGGATGACGTGTTCGCTGGCGCCTGGATCGCCATCTTCTGCGGCTTTTCTTTCTTCGTCGTGGCCAGCTTGGGTGTGGGCGCAGCGCTCTGCCGCCGGCGGTCCATGATCCTCACGGTGAGGCCCCAGCAGGAGGGGATGGGGACAGGTCGGCACAAAGAACATCCTCAGAGGGTCATGACAACCGCCACTGCAGCCACTAGGCTGTGTGCAGCATGGCACCACACTCGGGCCTCGTGGCAAGCATTTTATTTCACCTTCCCATAACCCCAAAACCCAGGCTCGCTGTCGCCAACATTTCAAAAAGAAAACTGGGGCACAGGGGAGGAAGAGAAGAAAGTTCCCTGCACAGGAGGATAGCTCTTGAGTAGTTGGTCTGTGCCCATGAGTGCTGTTGATAACGACAATAATAGTGGTACAGCCACCATTCAATGAGTGCTCATTACTTTCTAGATGCTTTACATGGATTATTTATTCCTCACAACTCATTATGAGATACCATCATCATCATCATCATCATCATCATCTTGAGCCCACTTGACAGTTGAAATTGAGGCTCGGAGAAGTGAAGTCACTTATCCAGGGTCTCACAGCAAGTAAGGGAGGGACAGAGCCAGGATTTAAACCTGAGAAATTCAGCACCTGAGCCTGTGCTCTCAGTCTCTGCCAGCAACGGTAATTGCAACGACAATATCCACACTTCCCAAGGACCTCTCATGTGCCTGATGCTAGGCTAAGCAGTTTAGAAAATGAGCCCCCTCAATCCTCCCAGAAGCCCTCTGAAGTTACTGCTTCTCTACCCATTTACTAGATGAGGAAACTGAGGTTCAAAGAGGCCAAAGCTCAGGTGGCAGAGAGAGCAGGGATTCCAATCCTGGCCTCAATGACACAGGATCGGAATAGTTGAAGGCCCTTTAAATCCCCAGGAACACCTACTTATTCTATCAACAAATGCTAATCGAGCAAGAGCCATGTGCCAAACCCTATGCCAGGCACCAGGCCTATCTAGTGAGCAAAACGTAAAGCCCTTGTCATAGGGGAGGATGCCTTGAGGAGAGAAGACAGTGACCAAGGAAGGGCGAGCTGGAACTGGGGAAGTGGGGGAGGCTTGCAGCCAGTGAAAGTAAAGGCCTGGGGGAGGTGAGGAGTGAGCCTGTGTGCGTATCTGCAGGAAGAACATTCCAGGTGGAGGGAACAGCAAGAGCAAAGGCTCTGAAGCCCAAGTTGGCCAGGAGGCCAGTGTGGCTGGAACCAAGTGGGGGTGAGGGTGAGAGAGGAGACGAGGGGAGGGCAGGTGGGGAGGGGGAGAGAACAGTAGGCAGTGGGCATGGGGGGTGAGGGAAGAAAGGGAAGACCGGCCTGTCAGGTGGGCTTCCGAGCCTTGGTAAATACTTGGGCTTCGCCCTAAGACGGAGCCATGGAAAGGTTCCTTTTCTTTCCTTTCCTGTTTTTCTTCTTTTTAAAAATTTCTTTCCTGCATTTAATTCTCTGGCATAACAATTTCACCAAAGCCCTAAAAGTTCATCCAACTAGTAAAAAAAAAGTTTGCATCTGTCTATTAGTTTGTCATTAGCTAAGACCTAGAAGGTTTTAAAACATTATTATGGGCAGTTTCAAACACAGCCAAGAGTGGAGAGAGGGGCCTGAGGAGCCCTGTGCGCCTGCCACCTGGTTCCCAGGCGATGAGCCGGGCTGGCCGCTGGGCCCCTCCGCCCGCCTTCTCCTGTCCCGGGGCATCCGGGGGCCGCCCAGGGCGCGGGCGCTGACCTGCAGGTGCCTGAGTGCGCCTTTCTCAGAGCGGCGAGGCCGCCCTTTAAAGCAGCGGGGTGTCACCACGTCTCCTCTCTCGGGTGGAGCTGGCAGACCCACGGCCCACAGNGCCCCATGCCCCACAGCCCACAGCCCACGCCCCATGCCCCACAGCCCACAGCCCACGCCCCATGCCCCACAGCCCACAGCCCACGCCCCATGCCCCACAGCCCACAGCCCACGCCCCATGCCCCACAGCCCACAGCCCACGCCCCATGCCCCACAGCCCACAGCCCACGCCCCATGCCCCACAGCCCACAGCCCACGCCCCATGCCCCACAGCCCACAGCCCACGCCCCATGCCCCACAGCCCACAGCCCACGCCCCATGCCCCACAGCCCACAGCCCACGCCCCATGCCCCACAGCCCACAGCCCACGCCCCATGCCCCACAGCCCACAGCCCACGCCCCATGCCCCACAGCCCACAGCCCACGCCCCATGCCCCACAGCCCACAGCCCACGCCCCATGCCCCACAGCCCACAGCCCACGCCCCATGCCCCACAGCCCACAGCCCACGCCCCATGCCCCACAGCCCACAGCCCACGCCCCATGCCCCACAGCCCACAGCCCACGCCCCATGCCCCACAGCCCACAGCCCACGCCCCATGCCCCACAGCCCACAGCCCACGCCCCATGCCCCACAGCCCACAGCCCACAGCCCACGCCCCATGCCCCACGCCCCACAGCCCACAGCCCACAGCCCACGCCCTGCTCCCTGGTGGTTGAAAGGGTGAGGGGAAGGGATGGAGACAGGAAAATACTTTTCATTAAGCACCAGTCAAATAATTTTTCTTTCTTTCCGCACAACCACGACGCTGCTGGCACCCCTGCAAAATTCGCCCTCATTCCTTCAAATCCGTCTTCCAATGCCAGCCTGTGTTCAAACGTCCCTGGTTGTCTCGAGAATGTCTTTTTTTTTTTTTCCTTTCTAGAGCAGACATTTATTTTACTGCATCCAAGCGTATCCTTGACCTCAGGAAATACTTTACATATATTTTCATTTCATTTCCCCTTAACATTTTCTTATGGAAAATTTCAAACATACAGAGAAGACGAAAGACTTGAGCAGCGAGCACCTGTACGCCCATCACATGGGTGCTGCCATTCACCTTGCTCTAGATGTTTTTGTAAAGCTGTATTTCTACCCATCGAGCCACCCCTGAGGGGGTGATCTCACCGCGTTACCCTGGTGGCGCTGTCTGTCCGTCCCTCTGTCTCTCCGCAGTACCTGGTGCTCATGCTCGTGGTGTACATCTTCGAGTGCGCCTCCTGCATCACGTCCTACACCCACCGAGACTACGTGAGCCAAGGGGAGGCCGGGAGGGCGCGGCTCCAGGGGGGNGGGGGGGAGTGGGTGTGGTGAGGGTCTCGGACCCAGGGTGGAGGCCGATTTCCTCCCCACCGACCGCCCCGGACCCTATTCTCTCCGGCCCTCCACAGATGGTGTCCAACCCATCCCTGATCACCAAGCAGATGCTGACTTTCTACAGTGCGGACTCGGACCAGGGCCAAGAACTGACTCGCCTCTGGGACCGCATCATGATCGAGGTGAGCAGGGTGGGCAGGGGGGCCTGGAGGACCCGAGGCTCTGACTACAGGGGTACAGAGGGCTCCCACTGTGCCCACTGGTATAGCATTTCCACTCATTTCGTTCTTACGAGGGGGGCTCTGGTCATTGTCATTTTCCAGATGAGTAAACAGGGCCCCCCAAAAGTAGCCCAGAGTACCTGGCTGAGCTGGGATCCAAACCTGGCAGCCTGGATCCAGCATCCCTGTCTTTAATCGTGGAGTATATTGTGTTAACCGCAAACATTTAATGAGCACTAACTTCTGTTTAGCACTGTCCAAAGCACTTCGAAAGTTTATTTAATCCTCACAACTGCTCCATAAGGGAGATCAGCTTTTTAGCAATGAGGAAACTGAGGCAAGGGGTTGAGGGGCTTGCACAAGGTCCCACAGCAGATAAGTCACAGAACCAGAAGGCTTCAAACCCAGGATGCCGGGTTCCAGAAAGTGCATTCTTAGCTAAGCCCAACTTGACTTGGCAGCACAGGAAAGAGCATTGAGGATTCAAGGGAAACTGAGGTCCCAATTCGGCTCGAGTCACACCGCTGGCCTGGATTGGAACCCATGTTTGAAAGGGCCTATGTTTTTCATCTTTCAGGGACCACAAAGGAAAGACCCACAGAGACTAGAAAAAAACAGAAATCTGCCTTTTGATGTCTTTTAGCTCACGTTTTGTTAACAGCTAATTCAAAAGAATTTAAAAATAAATCACAAGTGTGGGTTTGGTCAAACCTCCAACAGCCTCTGGGTCCTGGAACAAATATCTTCTGGTCCTTGCTCACACACACAGACACTGCCCCCCCTCTTTGAGGCCCAGGGCATGGGGAAGCTAGGCCCAGCAGTGGCACGGGACAAAGTTGCCCTTTCTCACAGTCTGACCTCAGGCAAGGTAGTCTGCTCTGACCTGGAGCCTGACCCCTGCCTTTCTCTCCAGCAAGAGTGCTGTGGCACATCTGGTCCCATGGACTGGGTGAACTACACATCAGCCTTCCGGGCGGCCACCCCGGAGGTGGTGTTTCCCTGGCCCCCACTGTGCTGTCGGCGGACGGGCAACTTCATTCCCCTCAATGAAGAAGGCTGTCGCCTGGGCCACCTGGACTACCTATTCACCAAGGTGTGTCCCCTCCCTCCTGCTGCACCCGTCTGTGGTCTCTCTGGCCCTGATTCTTCTGTCTCTTCCTCCCTCCCACTGCCTATTATTTTCTCCGCCCCTCTCTGGCTTTCTCTATCTCCCCCTTCTCTCAACTCTCCCTCCATCTCTCCCTCGCTCTGAAAGCCAGCGGGATGCACACGGGGCCTGTCTGATTTAGACCTGGAGCCTGCGATTTTCCTCAGGTTGTCGGGGAATATGAGCAATGATGATAACAGCGATAGCACAGCACCAATAACAACCCACGTTTATTGAACTTATACTTTGTACCAGGCATCCTTCTAAGTGCTTTAAGTTTTTATCTTATTTCTCACCACAGCCTGATGAGGTAAAGACGATAATTATCCCATTTTACAGATGATGAAACTGAGAGTCACTCGCTAGTGAGGGATGGAGCTGGGGTTTGAGTTCAGGCAGTTAGGCCCCAACCAGATGCTTTAACTACTGCAAGGGGAGTGCAGAGGCAGAGAAGGAAAGTCGAGGAGGTTAGGCCAGGAGAACTGGTCCCGGTGGTCCTCTGGCTGCTCTTGCCTGGGGCCCTTGGGCAGCATGTCTTAGATTAGGTGTGGGAACCATCACCACTCTCACAATCGGACAGCCTTGTCTCCAGCCCTGACTCTGTGCAGAGTGCTGACCTGCATCCTCATGGAATCTTCCCAGCTGCTTTCAGGGGGCGGTGCTGTTAAGATGACCTCTTCGCAGATGGGAAAACCGAGGCTCAGAGGGTCAGAGTCATACAGGCCCCAGAGCGAACCAAGGGTAGAGCTAGCCCCCCACCCAGCCCTGCCTGACCCCAGGGCGCACACCCTGAACCTTTCTTCTTGGCTGCTTCCAAGCTGGGGCAGGGGTCTGCATGAAGGCGGGGGCCCTGGACCAGCTCAGCTTCATCGCTAAATGAGGTGTCAGAAGCGGACTGATCCAAAAGGCCTATTTCAAGCCCTTGGAACTTGGGGCAGCAAGGAAGGCGGGCTCTAAAAAAAATCCCCCTCAGGCTGTCAGAGTCAGCCTTGTGGCAGCACCTACTTATACAGGCCCCGATCCAAGGCCACATCCCTGCTCCCTGAAACCACCCTGCCCGGGTCCCCACTGCGCAAGGGAAAGGCCGGGCTTGAGGAAGGAAGGCCTTTCCTGAGGGCATACAGCGACGCTTGCTTTCAGCGGCCAGGCTCCCTGGGAATTTTCTGAAACCCTCCATCTTTCCCTGCTCAGGGCTGCTTTGAACACATTGGCCATGCCATCGACAGCTACACGTGGGGCATCTCGTGGTTTGGGTTTGCCATCCTGATGTGGACGGTGAGAGGCAGGGAGCTTATGGGTTGGGCGGGATGTGGGTGCGGGGCTGGAGCACCCCTAACCTGACTGCCTCCTCCAGCTCCCCGTGATGCTGATAGCCATGTATTTCTACACCACACTGTGAGCAACGAGAAGGGATGGCCACTGCACACCTTGGCCTCCTCCTGACCCTCCTTCCTCCGGCTGGGCCTTGGCTGGCTGCCTCGCCTCTCCCCTTTCCAGCACCTTCACCCTTCCCTCCTTCTACTCCCAAGAGCTTTTACCAGGTTTCTGAGGTCTACCAGGAATTGGAGGTGCCCTGAAACCCCCAGACATGCATGCATGGACCCTTAGCCCTTAGCCTCATTTCATTTGATTGACTCCTGGCCCATTTATCAGTGTCAATTTGAAGTCCTGTCCTTAGATCTCACCGCCCCGTTCACAGATGCCTCCTTCACAGTGGATGTTACTATTATTATTGAGTGGTTCGTGATTGTCTCTTGAAGCTCTGGTAGACTGGGATTGCTATGAGGGGAGGGACAAGTTCTGTCATGGTCATTTATTGTCCCCGGCATCACCCAGCACTGGGCTGAGCACAGATTTTCAATAAATACTGTTTGCATGAGTTAATTTGTTTTCTTTTGGGACAAAGGTGAATGGACAAGAACTCTTCCAGTGGGAACGGCAGAAACCCAACTGGCACTGACTGAAGTATAAAATGAAGTTCATTGGCTCATGTAACCAAGTCAATAGGGCTGGATCCAGGAGTTCAGCCTAGGTTTCCAGGAAACCTGTTTCATTCTAAGGCAGGATTTCTCTGCGACACCAGACTTACATCTTTATAGCTAAGCAGCACAGGGGTGAGAAAGGGCCTCTGTCCCAATAGCTTTAGCCAAGGTCAAGGATCACATTTTACTGTGCTGGCTGGCAGGCATGGCTCAGCGGTTGAGCATTGACCTAGGATCCAGGCGATCGGGGTTCGGTTCCCTGTCGGGACACATGCCTGGGTTGTGGGCTCGATCAATGACTCTCTCATCATTGATGTTTCTATCTCTCTCTCTCCCTCTCCTTTCCTCTCTTTGAAATCAATAAAGATATATTTTTAAAAAATTTTACTGTGTTGGTTTTGGTTCTAGGCCCACCCTTTGATTAGGGTAGGGAGAACCCTGGACCAATGATCCTGCTAAGGATGCATCCAGGGGTGGTGTTGAGAAGGGGGTGGTTTATTAAAAGAAAATCAGAGGGCATGGCTGATGGACCAGTACAGGTGATAGACATCCTCCTATTAGGGACTAAAGCTTCCAGCAAGTTCTCTAAGGGGTGCATGACGGACAGCACACTTTAAGACTCTCATCACTGCTCTTTTGTCCTTTCTGAAGCAAGCTCATCCTCTGGCCATGTGACAGCAAGTAGACCCTACCAGGAAAGCCTAGCTTCCTGCCCTGTAAAATGAAGTTTCTCGGGATCCTTGTTTACTCCACTGGTCTGCTGATGGTCTGCGAATGCTAAATTCAGATATTAGTTTTTTTAAATCTGTAACGGTCAAAGAAGTCTATTGGAGTGAAAAAGTGGAAACAACCTAATATCCATCAGCAGGGGTTGGGTTTTACAACTCATGTTATATCCTTGGACTGAAATTCTCAGTGGCTGTTAAAAACAAGGTAGATCTATGCCCAGCTGGTGTGGCTCAGTGGTTGTGTGTCAACCCATGAACCAAGAGGTCATTGGTTCAATTCCCAGTCAGGGCACATGCCCTGGTTGCGGGCTTGATCCCCAGTAGGGGGTGTGCAGGAGGCAGCGAATAGATGTTTCTCTCTCATTGGTGTTTCTATCTCTCTCCCTTCCTCTCTCTCTAAAATCAATTTTTAAAAAAAAACATTAAAAAAAGAAAATAGACTTATGTGAGCTGATATAAAAAGATGTCATAATGGTATAATCAGAAAGCATATATAAAGATGTTTATTCTAGTAACCTAAATGAACATCAGTAGGGAACCAATTAAATTAACTATGCTATATCTCTACTTTAGAACACCACAGAGTAGTAAAAAATAATGTTTTAACATGGAAAAACCTCCAAGAAATGTAAAATAGAAAAACTTGCTAACCGCATACAGTACTTTTGTTCCTGTAGATACATATGTAGGGTTGTTTTTTTTTAATGGGTCAAGATATTTTTTAAAATGTTTAAAAGAATAGGGAAAATACTTTTTAAAAAGTAAAAATCGTTTGTAACCCTTTCACTTAAAAGTTTATAAACATTTAGAAATAGAAGCATTACTGGACTGGGCCTCGGGCCCAGAGCAGGTCTGCCTCAGGCCAGCCTGCAGAGTGGATTCTTGACTTCATGTAGGAAAGATTTCACAATACAAGTTCAGGTAATTTTGAGAGCACATTTATTAATGCTGGGGACAGTGAAACAAAGGAAGGACTTAGGGCAGAAGAGACAACAGGGCAGAGCCCAGGCGGTTCTCCGCTTTGGCTCCCTAGAAACGGTATAGGAAAGAAGTGAGCCGAGGCGGGGCTGCCATAGCGCACTGGGAAGTGAAGGTCACAGTGACAGAAGTGAGCCTGGGTGGGCTGCGTTAGCTCGCTGGGAAGTCAGAGAAAAGGGGTGTTGGAGGCAGGATCGGGGGTGAGCCCAGGATAAGCTCCCTCTGGCCACTGCTTCCCTGGCTGCAAGTCTCGTGGGGACCCTTAGAAATTAGGAAGAAATAAAGAGTTCATGCCCAGGAAGGGGCCTGGCGTGCTCTGGAGCAGGGGTGGGGAAGTCTGGCCGGAGGGGCTGTATGCAGCCCGGGAAATCATTTGGTCTGGCCCTGCCAAGGCAACCGCAGGTGGGATTCAAAATTCAATACATTTAGGAGCTTTTCTCATAGCTAATTTTTAAGTTGATAATTTTGTATGGACCTAGAATGATGTTATAAATATCCAAATGGCCCCTGCTCTAGAGCGAGCTTGCACCAGGCCTTTATCTTGAGGGTTGTTATCTGTCTTCGAGAATCTTAGGGGAGGGTTTCAGTAGGATATTTGTCAGCTTTCCAGGTGCATTTTATTTTATTTTTTTATTTTTTAAAATATATCTTTATTGATTTCAGAGAGAGGAAAGGAGAGGAAGAGAGAGATAGAAACATCAATGATGAGAGTCATTGACTGGCTGCCTCCTGCACGCCCCCGACTGGGGATCAAACCTACAACCCGGGCATGTGCCCTGACTGGGAATCGAACCCCAATTGCCTGGATCCTAGGTCGATGGTCAACAGCTGAGCCACGCCCGGCCAGGCTCCAGGTGCATTTTAAATGTGCTGATGCATTAAAATGAGTGTAGAGGGGAGTGTATTGGGATTATTCTTTGGTCTGCTTTACTGTTTTACTTTTATCTTGTGTTTGTCTGGCTCTAATCAGGTTTTCTGTTATTTGTTCTCTTGCCTTCATCCGTCCTTGGGTTTAGCTGGCACAAATGGCACTAATTGGGTCCCTGCTACCTATCTCCCTGACCAGGGTGATCTAAACTATTCATTTTTTTGGTTAGGGAGGAAGATATAAACCATTTGCTCTCAAGTGTCCTTGGTTAGGGAAGATAAGGTCTTGCGATTCACTGGCTGGCTGTTAGTCAAATTGTTTGGCCTTGTTTAATTATTTTGTCTCAGCTTCCCCTTTCCACTTGCCCAGAAATTTTCCTAGCTTCCCACCATCCTGCCTTAGAAGTTTCCCATGTTTCGCTCCATAGTAAATCCCCCCCATCCCAAATCTGGTCCAACACTCTACCTGGATAACTGCTATTAATACATAATAAAATTCCTTTTTGACTTTTCAAAAGTTTATATCAACAGATCTATATATACTTATATAAGCAAACACATATGTTTAATAGAACATGCTTTAAATATTGCTTTGCAACTTGCTTTCTGCACTTAACTATGTATATTATGGCCCTCTCTCCTTGGCAGTAGATATGAATTCATCTCTTTTTTATTTATTTTTTACTATTGTAATGTATTTCAGAGGATAGATGTATCCTAGATCATCATGATCTGTTGTTAAGTAAACAAGGCAAAAACAGTAGGCATAAGTGATTTCATTTTTATAAAAATTGTGTATGCATATTTCCCAGGAAGGAATCTTTTGAGAGGGAGAGTAGGGTGGAGAGCTGAAAAGAGGAAGAACAGTCACATCACATGTATCTTTATAGCGTTTGAAAATAGTTCCCTAAAGATCATCTATTACTTTTCAAAAACAAAGACTAGTAAAGGGGTTTCTAAAATACTAAATAATATACAGCTTTACTTTTGAAGCCAGAATTTTAAAACACCACTTCGATGTGATATGCACCGTATTTTAACACACAAAAGCCCCTCCGGGTTAACTGGCCTAACTGGCTTTTCTGCAGGCCTTGGAATGAAACTTCTCCTCCATCCCTAGGCTGCCTCATAAACGTGTCGATTCCTAATCTACTTACTTTTAAATTTAGGTATGTCCTCATGAGCAAGTTCACAGTGACCTAGTCTGTGACGAGGATTCTCTGAGAGAGGCAAAGAGGCACCACTGGCTTCTCACCAGCCTCACCACACTCTGAGCCTCAATGTGCCCCTCTGTAAAATGGGGCTTCCAACCGACCCTACCTCATAGCATACAGCCCAAACATACTAAAAGCTCAGGAACTGGTAGGTCTTTTTATTATGAATCAGGAATTTTCTCAACTCTGTGTAATCAGAATCAAATGTAGAAATAAGCTGTCTGCTGCAGCTGCAACTGTCTCTGGTAAAACCCAATTTCAAATGTTAAGGGCTCTGCTATCCTCATATAGAAGCTGATTCTCCGAAGTGACTCAGATATTTGCATTTAGTCATACTTGAAAATGACTGGTGCTTTCTCTGAGAGACGGGCTCAGCATATGTTAGAATTAATATGTTGGGGTTTTTGTTTTGGCTTGAGGGTGTTTCAAGAATGTTTGTGGAATTAATGAAAACTAATATGCATAAAATCAGTTTTGCCCTTAAAAATCACACTGCAAAAGAATATTTAATGTCATGGGAAAATACTTGTAACATTGTGATGTAGGGAAAAAAGATTACAAAATAACATGCCACGTACGATTGTTTTTCTGATAAAAATATAAGTATGTGCACATTTGCATTAAAATTGTTAACAAAGCCCGGCCAGCATGGCTCAGTGGTAGAGCATAGACCTATGACTCCCAGTCAGGGCACGTGCCCAGGTTTTGGGCTCCATCCCAGTTGGGGGCGTGCAGGAGGCAGCCGATCAATGACTCTCATCATTGG